CATAAAATAATGGACATCGCACACAAACTACAAATTCTTTCTTTAGATAAAAATATTAGGCAATTAATCTTGTTGTGATACAATTTTTATTCGAAAACATCGTAAATGACATATTGCTTCGAATCGGTTAGAAGAACAGGTCACTAATAAACAAAAATTCTTAATGTAGAATATATTTAAATTAAATATAACCGACAGCATTCTAAGTGGTTCGAACTGGAACCCGGTCAGAGTTTGCATAAATAAACTCGTATCTGCATAAAAATAAAACCTATAAACCGGTTATATGGGACAACGTATTTTCACCTCGACCGTACGGAATACGTTGTGCAGTTTCAAATTTCTCCAGAGAGAGACCCCTCCCCCCTCAGCACATGGAATAAATGTTTACTGTGTGCCACTCATGCATACCAACGATGAAATTTGCATTTTCGGGACGCGATGACTCGTAAAATTAGATTTAGAAAGCTACTACGCTATGAGCTCGCAACAAGTCATGTTAAGTGACGTAATCGGGAGCACGACTTGCATGGTAATTAATAGAGCACGTTTGTTAATAGCATTAGCAAAACGAAAGTACCACTTTACCGTAGATGAGCAATAGCAGCTTGCCTAACAGCATAACAGGTCTTGCTGCACGACCGGCAAATCGTACGACCTTCACAGAAAATCCGGTATTAAGTAAATGTTAATAATTCGCACTTAAAGGCGGGGGTAACACGCACTCAACGTCACCAATGTTGTAAACATCATGGGACATTAACCTCATATACTGCCAGGTGAACCATAGCTGAGTTGCTATTTCAGCTAAATAACACTAGGTACCGTGGTAGGGTCATACAAGAGCTTCTGCTAGTGCACGAATAGGCAGACTCGTCCTGGGAAGTACCACGCCCGATCAGAAGACCAGCGAGAAATAGGTGTAGCTATATCTGTGAACGGCGGTATTTATTTAACGTCAGTGCCTTGCTCCCTTGACAAACTACCACGTAAATATAAAAAAAACATTAGAAATAGTATTTATTACCTGCAGTCTACTCTCTACGGCTCGAAATTTTAAATTCATCCACTTTATGCCTTTATCTCTCGTGTCAATGCTTTATAAGGATTAGTACCATAGTGGAACGGAACAATGTCTCGCTCGCAGATTGCATTCACTAAGTAATCTACAGCTCTTTTTGCTATTGCAACGTTGCGAACTGTTCCGTGTAGGGGTTTTGTGGAATAATCGGCGCTAATTTATAACTCTCGGCGGTACTGAAACGCTTGATTTATTAGCACCGAGTTTCGTGTTCATTTTCTTAATGTGTCTGCGCGTGGCGCGTAAGCACGCTTCGATATCTTTCAATAGAGGGATCAGTACATTGACTTTTAAAAAAGGTGACCGGTACCAACCGCAATGTACTCGTGGACCGCAGGTTTTCTATATATTATGGCATATTTACGTGTTGGCCACCGCTATATGACATCATAAATCAAGTACGGAAAAGTGAAGACTAAAAATTTATACGTTCACGAGTGTTGTAAAATTATTGTAACATATTTATGTTGCGTTCTTTATGCCATTGTAAGTTTTAAAACACAGATTATTAAAGATGACCGTAAATAATCGACCGGACAGTCGTATTAAATATTGTCGAGTATCTGCACATACAGAATATACAGATTACGTTTCCGTATAATCTAAGTCCAGTTTGGATATAATAAGAGCTAAGTTGCTCCTATTATATCCAAACTGTGAAAAATTTTAAAACTGCTCTGTACAAATAAGTAAGTAGGAGATTGGAGTAATGTAAAATATTTCAATTATGAAATAATTGCCTGTGATGTAACGAAACAAGTAAAATGGTCTGCGGTCACATATCTATGAACTCATCAGACTAATGGAACAACAAATTGCAAATTTAAATTTCAGAGATAAAATTAATTTTAAGTAGGTACTTCGTCCTCAAGTTCGAGTAATTTTAAAACCTACATGAAAAACAATGAACGCTCTTAAATTGCGTATGTTATTCTTCCAGTCATTTGTGTTTCCGGAAGGTCTTTAAGGATGAAAGGGGTTCTTGTATTCTTATTTAATCAATTAAGCATGAACACATTATTACAACGGTTTCGCTTATTTCTTTGACTTCTTTAAAGTTCATTGACCAAGATCATATCAATCGAAATTTATGATTTTAGCTCGCAGAGGCTTATAGTTCTTATGTTTTTCGTTACTTCCATCAGATATTGCCTCTTATTGTATGTAATCAATACTCATATCTACTCTATCTTATTGTATATAATAAAAACTCACCCAATAATAACATTATTGGGTGAGTATTTCATAAGATAGTTTCAATAAGAGTAATAATATAATCAGGAATACTTATTATGTTAGTTATTTGCCGAAGCTTCTTTAAATAAATAAAACTAACTACTTATATTATTGCTTCGTACTTACTTCGCATTATTATTGGTTCACGAAGCATACTCTTTAGAATCTTGATTTCGCAAGTGGCGGTCACGCAATACCGGTTTTGCGTCAGTGGAAATAATCTTGCACATTGTGAAGTACTGATTATTGTACATTTGCATTGGTTTAATTTAAAATGTATGCTCTCGAATGTACCCTTTATTTATTTTCAGACTTTTATCATTATTCTGTTTTAATCTTAAATTGGCAAAAAATATCAGGTTAAGCAATCTAAAAAATGCTTCATTATGTTGAGGTAGTTAGTGATCGGAGTAATAATTATGTCAAAACGAATAGTTTTAAGTAATGTATTGTCATAAAACTACATAAACCTAAAACTACATAATAGTACCTAATACATGAAGAAACATGCAACAGTAACAATTAAGGAATAATATTTAAACGGTTTTAGGAATAACGCTATGCGATTGTCGAATATGAAATAATTTGCTCAGATAAATAATTCGGGAAAATGATACAGTAAGTTACGTTTCGTTATCTTTGCTAATAAGTACACGTGGCGGTGGAATACGAAAACAATTTCGTTCACAACGGCACCACTTGAATTGCGTGAATATTTCATGAATCATAGAGTAATACGCGTAACATAAAATTATACTAAATTGTTCAATATTACACAACTTGTGTTGGAAAAATTTAATAGAGGGTCGTACGATAAAATCGATTGTTTCAGGCAATAGAGGAGGCATTTTGCACTACTATCAGTGATAGTAGTAATAAACAGGTAATTTAATTAAATAACAATTAAATGAAATGTATTACTAAGGGAGATTAGTTGTGTTACATTTCTAGATATATCTAGATAATTTATGTTTAACACAAAATTCAGTTAGCTTATACGTTTCAAATGATCGTTGGTCGATGTATTAATTGACATAAAATTTCTGCATACCGTTTCCCGAATTGCTTACGCATTATTTACGCGTCAATTAGACATTATTTCACGCGTCGACAATTCGCAAACGTAGGGGATTCTAAGCAGTAAGTAATAATACTGAAAGACACTCGGAACGCTTCCGCTTGCTCCGCTGAAAAGGAATGCTGACTCGGTCGGGAATAAAACCGGCCTCGGGCGATCGTCGCGACCGCTTACAACGCGCGGCGACGTTAACGGCACGATTTGGCGACGACGACGACACGATTTGGCGACCACGCGGACTCATCGTGATTAGCTAAATGCCACTTTAGCTTAGCTTTAGGAAGACTTCACATACCTTCGAAATATTTTTTTTCACTATTGGATATATCAATATTTATATTGTTTTATCCAGACTTGTTCACCATTTTTTCCTTCACTGCTCAGCACGTGATAAGTCAGTAATTAGAATTGCAGTTAGAAATTTCATTGTATTGTCAAATGTATTTTGCAAATTTTAAATCTGACGGTTATAGCAATTCCATGTCTTGGCCAATAAGCGTTCAAAAATGTGAAAATGTTTCGTCAGCAGTGAGAAACTCCAAAACGTCGTCCGTACCGGAACGGGTCTTTTATTTCTATCGCCGAACTTTTCTAAAGCTAATAACGTTGGGGCGATACTGCAGCGGAAGATTTCTACCCGTTGCGAGTGAATTTCGTTTTTGTTGGGATTTAAATCGTTTACGCGGAACATGATCTTTAAAACGTGCATTTGCCAGTCTTGTCCGGTCTTGGCTATTTGTGATGATCTTAAAAATCGTTACGAATGAGCCCGTTTTGATAATTGTTTACTTAACAACGTGCTATTTGAAAGGCTCTGTTGTAATACAAATACAAAAATGTTTATTTCATTAACTTATAAACTAATACATTTATAAGTAATTAAGGTTGAATTCGTTTTTAAGTGAAGAATAATATACAAATGTACGCCTGCATTTGTATATTATTTTTTAAACTTAACCTTTAAACTTCAAAAAATACTCTCATCTTTACTGTTTTAAATAAGAGTTTTAAGTGCATAATCTTAAGGTTAAAAACTTCTTAACATACTTTCGAAAACATTGCGTAGATCGTTTATAACTTTTAATCGAACTTTCCGTACTGTTTGGCTTCTCAAGAAGGTGGTAACAACTTTTTATGATATTTAGGGGAACAATTTAACAACAGAAAATATTATCTCTATCGGTGAATAAACAAATTGACGCCCCCAAAGAACTTTTCTCGCGTGGTTCTCAACGTGAGAAACGTACACGTGTCAGTCACAGAAAGACAAAGGCTAGACGGCTGTGTAAATACACCCAGTATTGTCACACGATAGACCCCCCCAATTGCGTAACGAAACAATGCCGTGGTTTTTTCTGTCTTGTCTGTTAATCTGTCGCCACACGGAATCTATTACCGGTTTCCATTTTGATATGAACATTACACTTTATAGAATGTCGTTGTTTCTCGCTATAACAACAAATACTAAAAAACAAATTAAAAATATTTCAGTAGCGCTTGCCGTTTTTTTTTATATTCTTTAAAAAGGATTGGAAGGGATGAAAGTTACTGATCTTTACAAAGCTAGGGTCTCAATTGTCATCGAAATTTGTTTACGTCAAATTACTCTAAAATTTCATCAACCGCACTAACACAGTGCTCCTTACGAGTAGACGAGTAGAGAGTACGGCGCGATTCGAAGCGTACGTCCACCGCCCGTGAACAAAGGGCTCTGCGCAAAAACACTGTGGTTTTGTTTGCTCTCTGTTCCGGTCTCAAGCGCGAGGCGTCAAAAGTTGCCAGCCGGTAGGCAGCACTAGCGACGCGCATCGGCCGCAACTAATCCATAACAATGGCCCATTGTTACGGCCGCTCTTCAGTCAAACACTAGCGGGTAGGGCGAAGCTCTACTCCGTTAGAACAAGAGTAACTAACGCAGAAATGTCTAATCTAAAACATTCGCACCGCGCGCAAGGTAGACCGAGGACACGGCGACGTGGTTTCGCTTGCCCTGTATACGGATGCAGGCAGGCGTGCGCTCTCAACGAAATTCTCATCTAGATTTGTTCGTAGAACGTGAAATGGTTTCGGTGTGTTATTAAGTGTGGTCGTTGTTAAGACTCTTTTTTTCTGATTTTAATTTATTCAAAATTCTCACTGGCCTCTCTTGTTTGGAAAAAAAATTTCTTCTTATTGCATCGTACTGCATTTTTACTTTTCACATCAGATTTTTTTTTACTGCCAAATGTTAGTTTTAATAAATTTGTGTACTAAAAGGCCAATGCACCTTAAGAGGTGACACATTAGATAAGGGTGTGCGTATATATACATATTCAATGACTAAAACGGATGTAACGTTCGACAATAATCACTAACGCCATAGCTGTATAATTAGGCTCAACATTTAGTTTAAAACATTAACTAAATACGTTGTACGTCTCAAGTTTTCGGATATTGCTTTCGGACATCTTTACTTATCGTTATTAGGTACATTGTCATGTATACGGGTATGTTTCATCGGTTACAAGTAAGCTTCTTCGTTTCAATCTATTATTGCGAATTAACCACGCGTGCTGAGCAGCCGGTAAAAAGCGCTGACTATAAAGTTGTTTATATAATCCTTACTGTACCGCGACATTGGCCGAATGCAATTTTTTTACATCATCATTCATTCAATGTCACCTACGCCTGAATTCAATTATTATTCCTTACGAAAATTTCAATACTTAAAACATTCATAAAGGATGGCTCAAGACGTAGAAACGAAGTAGAAAATCGGTCTTTGGAGTCGGGAGCGTAACCGCCTCCCGCGACGCAAGCCAGACGAAGGGGTACGCCGGTTTTTTGTGTTACAACATCGCTGTAATTGCCCATGGATATCACCGGTTTTGCCGCCGACGACGCCGTCGGTGGCAAAAAAGGCGTTTCCTGCGCTTTTCGGTAATCGCTCGCAGCGAGTTGGCTTATTATTATTTTTTTTAAACCTCAATTACATGATTTTGTTTAGATAATTTACTTTTGAAAAGAACATTCGAATACTGCTATTTTAACATAGATTCCATATTATTTTATTTAACTTTTAAATTAACAAGAGTCAGTTGACGACTAAACTCAATTAACACAAACTTTTTTATAATGTCTATCTTTATAATCTTGTCTTCATCTACAAGATTTAAAGTAAATTTCGAACCAAAGCGTAATTGAAAACAAGCTCGAAGCTCCACTGTAGTGGTTGTGTAATTAGATTTGCCCATACTTTTCCTTATATTATTTGAAATCTTTACCTTGACCCATGAAACTCTGTAATTAAATACATTTTAACACATCAACGACCAGGTTCTTCTCTACAATTCACGTTTCCAAAATGGTTCGCTTAGTAGAGGCCCCTTGATAAACATACACACAAACATAATCTAATGGTGGTTTTAAAAGCTTGTCAGTTAAAGTATTTCTATTTCATAGATATGAATGAGATAGAAATGAGATCATTTCTCATTGGGTTTGTTCATCACTCTCTTTACTCGATGGGTATTCGATATGAAGCTAGTTATAAAGTTCGCACCTAGTACCGAACTTCAACAACTCGAACACGTTGCACTCGAGAAGATAATCTGTGGCAGCCCTAGCGTCGGTCTGTCCAGGCGGGCGCGGGGTGAATGACCTCAGCGCGTCCCCGCGATCGAACGCCCGCCGCTCCACGCCGCGCTCATCCTGCCCCACTTGTGGCGGCGCACTCTAGACCCAGTCCGCGCGTACACCTTACCGCCATCGCAATAAAATCGATATTCGCCACAGTACCGTTTTAAATAAACCTTGAAACACGTACATTTACGAACGGACGTACGGACCATTTTCGCTTGCTTCGTCTTTGATTTCACTGCCTCCAGGGTTATGCACTCAACTCCCTGGCAATAAGAATGATATTTCATCGTTTCTCGTTGGAAAATTTTCCCGCTATTTTATACAAGTGTAGTCGCGAACAAATAAACGGTGTAGTTATTGCATTTAATTGTACGCGGCGGGGTTACACGCGGTGTTCTCGATTTACGCGCTTCCTCTATACACGTGATCTTTTGAATTGTTTGAATCCGTGTGCCATTTCAGATTTAGTAAATTCTTTTAAGTTGACAACATTAGTGCAGTATATCTGTAATATATTTCTATTGCGATTTTGCAGTGACAATTAAACAATTATTATCACTTGCTAAGTACTTTATTGGTCTTTAGAGGACACGTGTATTCTGACAACTTCTTTACAGTACGTATAAGTAAGTAATTATGACTTAATTACTCGACCAGAACGATACTCAGACGTATTGATTGGCAACCTTAATAGGCTATTCTCGGAACTTATATCGTCAATAATTCATTATCAGATAGTTACTTCAGTGTGTAGGAAATGTACTAACACTTTGTTTGATGTTAATGCATCAACATTGTTCGTGCACACGCACATATGTACTTTGGGTAATCCATTAACTGCTCGGTGAGGCATTTATCTTTCATACAGCACCTTAGAATGTACACTTTGTAAATAGAGCTGTCGATTAGGTGGATTGCTTTTAAATTGGGAAATGATTAAGCCCCTAATAACATGTTTTGTTTTCGTACTGAGTAGGGGTGGCTAAGTAGTAAGGTACACGCGAAGGTGATTTTCAACCCGATCCGATATTCAGCGATTTTCGCCGTGCATCTGAAACACCAGAAGAACCGCAGGTGCGTTGTCAAGTTTTAAGAGAACGTGCATTTCGATATTTCAGACTAAAGTTAGACGTTCCGCGTCCACTTTCGCGACCACCTTCGTGACCTGCGCTTCACCGTTGGTTTTGTGCGTAATCTTGGTACTATTCTGGCCGAGCCGATACGCTTTGTATGAAAATGATAAACGCTGCTTGGCGGCTCGAGCACTATAAGCACGTTTATTTCGGATGTCCGTTTCCGTAACCGTCCATGATTCGATTAATGATATAGGGGCATCTTGACCCATTGATAAATTCCATCACATACAATACACGCTATGTCTTATTTACATCTTCAATAGATAGAAACCTATTTATAGTACACCGTTTTGTTATCCGTCGTCCGTTTTGTTTCTCTGTAGGCGCGCGTAGACGTTGTCCCTTGATCCGAACGTCCTCCCCCAGCCAATAAATTGAATCTATCATCTTGTTCGCGACCCAATTGCTCGAGCGAACACGTGTTGGCGATATAAATATACCGTATCGATGTCTGTACTGAAATGTATAAAATTTATGTATGTATGTGCGTAAATACACCGTCGTGTATATTCAAATGTACGTGTATGCACGTTACATATGTAAACATCACTTGTTTACCCTGTACGTGTCGCGAGACGGGGGACCGTCTGAGTGGGTGGAGGATGACTACGCGACTCGTGACGAAATTTAAGGGAACAATTTTGGAGACGCTTTCGCGTTCGCATAGGCTTTCGTACTACCAACCCCATATTTAATGTCGTTTTTTCTCCTCATAGCATAATGTTGGAACCAGATGAGATGTTTCATGAAAATTTGAATGAATCAAATCAAATTTAACACGATATGATGAATTAAGTCAAATTTAACTGATAGATATGATGGAATAGATATTTTTGAACGTCTTGTTTTTACATATTTTATTTGAGACCAAATGAAAGTAAAAGACTACAAGTGTAACTTACACAGTTCGCAAATAATAAATGCAAAGAATATTTGCTTGATTCAAGGTTGTATAAAACATTATTAAACACGAATTACCATTACAGAGATACAGTCATTAGGCTTTGCTCACTTATTATTAGTTCCAAAACTATGTCTTGTTTTAATGTTAACGTGGTAGACACTCCGCCTGTACAGTTTTTCTGTCCATGTCCCAATCAGCGCTTTGAATGTCTTACTTTAAATAGTGGTTATGCTATCGCCGAAACCTGGACACAATTATGGAGCGGTGATCTTTGCTAGTAACGAGCCAAGATAACGTAATTATGCGCAATGAAGTTCGCGGCACCGCAAGTCTAGTTGTAAAGATTTTTAACTACATCTCGTTTTTAATTATATCGTTTTATAACAGAAACTAACATTATGATTAAACTGCATACATATATTGCTTACTCGTGGACAAAGGCACATTCAACCGCGCTGTCCATCATCGAACTGGCAAGCTTCGTACATTGTGGACATTTTTTTCTTTTTTTTTTATTATTATTTACTTACAATTTTCCTTTAACGTTAATATTTCAGTTAAAAATTTCATTGATGTTCCCTATATCTTACTTATACCTAGTCTTTTTTTAAAACTTCTCATTTCTCTGTACCAGGATACGGAGTACAATTCGCTTGTACCACGTACTTTTGCTTTTAATAAAGCGTATTTGAGATTTATCACTTTAGTTTCTGTTTACACAAGTGAAGTTTGATTCGCATACATTGCAATCCCGCAAGAGTATATCGGGATTGTACTGAGTGATTGAAAACTCTCTCTTGTTGACCACGCATCGATCGTTACGTCGATTCGTCGAAACCTGTATATCTATCGAAAATATTTCTGCGTATCTCTTGTCACTGTTGTGTTATAATCTAAGACGGTCTCTGAGAGCGGATGTAAACGTGGCGGGGTGTGTTCAGGACGTCAAAGCAATCAGCATGATCATTATTTCGCCGTCCATTTCATTCATTATATTCATATTATTTATGCAAATTTTTAATCGTCCTTAAAAATTAAAGGACTGAAATCAGATGTCCTAATTTTTTAGACTGTCTGACTATATAAAATCTATATTACTTCCATTCTAGATTTAATGTCAAGTCTTGCATTGACCTAGTTGACTAAATTTGCACTGCCGGCAACAAGCTAATATTAGTTTTGTCTTCATGATACCAAGAATTCCCAATTATATTTCTAATATTGACTCTTTTCACTATCCGAATATGATGTAACCTGAAACAACATTTTAGATTATATAAGATCATCATTATACATCAAATATTGTACATTAGTCGCAAGTGTATAAGTAGGTTTTGAACTCATTATCATTTCTACAATATTCAATAAAATTTTTAATAAAATAATGATGTCTCATCATTGTATATACCAAAAAATATTTAACGTTATGCATTAATAGTTAATTTATTTGTATTAAAATGTTTTCTGTATTTTTGCGTGTAGTTGTTAACGCAACATGATTTTTTAAAAGATTCTTAAAAAATATACTTATTTTTATCGCCATCAATATCTGTAGATTGTAACACTTTGGTGCGAGAGGTATTGCGATAACTTTTTATCGTAAATGGAATTTAGTTTACAAACTATATTTATTTGTATTTATCGGTATGAATAGTGTTCCAAACGGCAAACCGATAGTGCAATTTGATTTGATAACGTTTTAGCTTATTAGGAAAATCATTTAATGATTCACTATAATATACAACTTTGGTTATTTCCGAGCGCATTGTTTCCGCTCAAACGTATTCAAAACGTCTTACCCATAACAGAGTCGCTTCATACATTATTCCGTGCACCGTTCGTTTGCGCCGCGAACGTAGACAGTAAAGCGAGGGACACACAGACAGGAGTCAGCGGGGACCGTGGAAGTTGGAACTTTGTTGCGAAAGATTTAATGGAAGTTACTCCGTCTTTGTCTAAGTTTCGTTACTCGACTGGCCACCGCTGCGCGCCTCTTCGCTCCCGTTCATAACACGAAAACCGCCAGGGTTGCCCGTTGCGGTGGTTTGATTTATAAAATATAATTACGCCACTGTTAATGATTGAAGTAATTGATTTATGGGGGGTTCAGGATGGATTATCCAAAATCACTGATTCACAATTTAACAAGTTTATTGCACTTTAACCACTTTTTATTTAAATATTGAACGTTCGAGGCCTGAGCGGAAGAGAGAGAACGAACGAAAAGAACATATTTATTATGAATGAATAATAAGCCACTAAACGTAAATGGATGTCGTAAGAGGACCACTGAAGGGTAAGCCACAAATATCTGGTGGCCTCCGATGGATGGCGGGATAACAGTCTTGATTCTCTAGACCCTAAATACTTAGGCCAATAACGGGCAGCACCGTTATAGGTGGGAGCTGTCTAGAATATATGCGATCTCCAACTTGCTTGCGTGCCGACTATGGATCTCCCTAATATGAGGGGCATTGAACAGGCTGATGATGATGAAATCGATCTGTATAAAGCACCCAAATGAAAATGTACAGAAAAGTTCGCCTCACTTTCCCTCCGAGTTAAGCACGGAGGAAACTAAGAGCCGATTTTCAGTGTGCAAAATGTGTGGGTACACACGAATTATGCGTAGTTTCCAGTCAGTAGTGAAATGGTAACATTGAAACGTGGAGGATTTTTTGAAGAGAATACACCGCGACAACTCGCAGCCCTGCCCGCAGACGTATATCTGGGGGTTAGTCAAAAGGAAAGTTTTATTGCTCCTGAATTTCATTATAACTTTGCTCGCCGCTCCATTCTTCTATTTAAAGCCTTTAAATGGGGGATTGTTGTCTAATTTGTAGGAATTGTGCCGAGTTTTGCGTTGCTGGATAATTTTACTATTTACTATACGGTTGAGGCTATTGACTTCAAGTGGTTAAGTTATCAGTATATCATTTCTATGGAGTCGATTCGACTCCACAGATGATAATGTCGATTGGCGATTTGCATAGCGGTCAGCCTTGGCATTAGAAGGAATTTATTAAACAGTTCTCAGTACTGAGTATTAAAATCGTTCAATTTATCTTTATATATATAATTCTTCTATACGTGTGTATGTAACTGAATTCCTCCCAAACGGTTGGATCGATTTTAATGAAATTTTTTGTGTGTCATCAAAGTCGATTCGAGAATGGTTTAGATTCACAATTAGGGACACTACAACTTTTTTTATTTATAAGTTTGTCGGATTTAAGTCGTGTGTACAGGACAACGTCCGTCGGGTCCGCCAGTTATAATATAATAGATAGTAGAAAAATTTCGTCACGTTCTCCAATTCGAAAACGGTTCGGAATTCAGAGTCGCCTGATCGATAGCAATGGATAACCCTCTCGGGCGGCTTTTCGCTCGCGTGACGGCGCGGGCACGCGGTGAAAGCGGTCTCTAGCGCTGTTCTCAAACGCACGAAGAGCTATTCTATAATTGAATCGCCCTCGTGCACGGCCAACGTTCGGCTGACGCACCGAGCTTGTCTGCAGCATTTTTTTTTAGTGAAAATTTTTTTTGGGCGCATTGAGCTCTTTTTGGGTGAACAAAAAGCGTTTAACTCTCTCGCGTCATAGTCACCGAACTCTTTCCATGAGCTATTTATAAAAAAGGAATACACAAAAGTATATTTGTAGTGATGAATGAAGGAATACTGTTAATGTCGTTCGGAGTGCCTATAAAATATGCAGAACTGAATATTATTTGTGATTGAATGTCTGGCATTGTAGTTAATAAAATTATATTCCCAAACAGATTCATAAGCATTTTTTTAACTTCCGTGTCCAAAAATTGTAAAATATTATTCGGAAGATTTTAAATTAAAGGCGATGAAATAGTAAAAATAATTTCGCTTGCTTACACCAGGTTTTACATCCGCCGCCCTTAAACTTTAAAATTAAACAGTCAATGAAGAACGTACTTTAAAACTTCACAGATTAAAAATCATATTAATTCTTCATTCATCCAATATTTTCATTGACTTATTTTTACAATTCACGTTTACCTTGCATAAAGTTTTCGCTCGTAAATTAGTGTACCGAGTGCTATTGACCCTGTAACTGTTTGCGACTTACTTTTTGACGATATATCTTGCCATCTATATACAAATACTTAATATGTTTAAACTAAACAGTTTACATCTATATTCGACGAAAACTTCTTCGTCTAAATTTCTCATCAATGTCTACTCCGGTGATATTTTTATGACGATTTTTAATTGATTACTTACCTCTATTAGTATTGTTTACTTACTAACTTTTAAACCATCTAAATATTCTGAAAACTAATTAGGAGTTTGTTTGGATTTCCCGTACTTTATCACGTCAAAATAAATAGTCTTCGCCCAACTACGCCTTATTGCAACGACATTGCGCGGAGTTAGTTGCCAGATTATGACACGTAACAAGTTACCCGTTGGCCCCAAGGTGAAAGTTTCTCCGTGCGAGTTTGCCACCCTGTGTTGCTAACTTGCACTCGGTTTGCGAGCAAACCTTCCCCCCGCTTTCAATACTCGTATGTCGGTGTTTATACGAGTTCGAGGGTTAGACTTGGGGAAGTTTATTTTATTATAACTCCGCTCAAGGCCCTGTCTGTAAGTTGTGATGTTTATTTACGCGTGTGAATTTGTGCACTTTGCATCGGAGAAACTTTATGAAAAAATAAGTTTCCTTCGTAAATAATTTCTCGTTTAAAGAATTTAATTTATCTAACAGCTCACAAACGAAATTTAAACATTATCATAAAAATTTAATATTTTTATGAAATGCCGACATTGGTTTCTATACTAACTTGTGAAGGAACTACTAAACTGTAAAACTTGTAAAGGAACGTTTGTGTTTAAGGCTATTATTATAGTATTAGTGGTTATTTAAACGATAACACACTCTGGAAATGAATTGATCTCTCCAGGATCTCTAAAGTGGAAATAAATATATTTTACGTGTATGTTTTTTTTTGTCAAAAAATTGTCCCGCTTACTTTCTTTCGCCGGTTCTCTCAGGTCAGTGACTTTTTGCGAAACGATAGTATTGATTTTTGACCATCAATAAGTAAATGTAATGCTTTCATATTGAATTAAGATATATGAATTTGTACACCATGTCACACAAACTCTGCGTATGCCGAGTCATTTAATAATACGAATCCGTCGTCTTCTATGCTATTCTATTCGTTGTCCCGTTTAATGCACGGCACTAAACGTTTAATGAACGCCGAAGCACTTGCCGCCGCTCGCAGAAAACGTCGTGGCGAGTCGAGGGTTGTCATTGTTTGCGAACTTTTTATGTCTTTACGTCTTGTTTCTTTTCCGCTAGCCGTGCTGCTATGCTACTCTACTCCATTGTTTTGTTTACTTTCTAATTGATGTTGTTTGTACTGAGCTATGTGCATGGGTCGGTAACCTTTTATGTCAGGATTCATATTTACATTGTTATTTTTTTCCATTTCTAAATATTTTAATACGAATAAACACATCTTTTATTTATTTTCGTAATTGTTTCTAACTTCTGTATGTAATTAATGTCGCTATTTCTTCTATTTGGCAAGGGTGATTTTTTTTTACTTTTAAATGCAATGTATTAACTTTTATACATTGATATGGCGTATGATTAATAAAATGCAGTTTAATCGTGTCTTGTTATGTGACATTCTACGTAACAATCGTCGGATGTTTATGCAGGTTATGCTGCTGAGTAGGTACTCCACTTGAGCTAAAACCAAACACTGCTATTATTTTCGATGGTAATCTATATACTGTGTAGCATGTGTTTGCAAATTGACCATTTTGTAGTAAATCTTACGTGGAAGACTGCAGGGTACGATATAGTATCAATGACTATTATATTTATTTGTTTTAATATTAACCGTGCTAGGAATTAACCCCATGTCATGGAGCTTGTCACAAATAAAATACTTTAGACTGATGGCAAAAACATCATGCAACTGAGACTAATCATCTAATATTTGATTGAATTTGATTTTTTTAATTTGGAATACTAAACGTGAAACGTCAATTTAGTCATTTTGATTAGTAACGTGAAACATGACAAAGTTCCAGTTCCCATTCATCCGCCAGTATAAGTACCTATCAAACTTGCGAAAGTGGCCGAAGCGTTCGCGTCTCGCAAGTTTACCGAACTCGGCGATGTTGAGTTTGGGACGCGGCAACACAAGCTAAAGCGGGGGCGAACTTATCAAACTGTGTGTGCCAGCCGATGAATATGCAAATTGAGTTACGCCAGCCAATAGTTGGGCTCAGTCGTGCTGGTTAGTGCGCACCCACCCGCCGAGGGGATTTACCAGCTGCCATGTCACGTTTCCACGTCACTCGATGTAGTAGAGAAGCGTAATGAGCGATGAGTTAAAGTAACATAGCTAATTTATCACACGTACTCGATCAAATTCGACGTTTCGAATCGATTGATTCGACAACTAAACCACCATCGACTATGGTAATAGGAGTAGAGTTGTCTTAAAAACTTCACCTGAAGTGTGTTGCCTTTCAACACACTTCAGGTGAAGTTCGTGATAATAAAATAAAATCACAGAAGCAAAATATATTCCAACAGGAAACAATATATAAACCAAAGTCTCATCAAATTCTTTCGGTCCATACAGGGGCAGAACAAACACGATGTGTAATGGTAATTGGCAAGGAGACCGTTTAAACAGTTGCTCACTCCGTGTAGTAATTTGTACCTATGAACTAACAATTATTATTACCGGTTGTAATTACAAGTTTATTAATGTTACAAGTACCATTTTAAACTAAAATATCAAAAACAATCATTAGATGATATTGATTGTTTTGGTTGATTAAACGTTGTATTTTAATTAACATTCAAGCGATATCCTCATCGTATCTACGTTACTGTTTCATCCAATTATTCCATTCGGACGCGGCACCATTGTCGTATAGTGTAATCGCGTTCAGCATCGCAGCCCACCTTGTACCGCAATTAAACCGATATGTATCAACGGTCGCACGATTACACGGGTCTATCTATATCGACGGGATCGGCTTGTCGTTGGGGGATTATAGTACGATCGTAAATCAAGGCGTCATCGTGATATATGCCCTCGATAGGGACATGGATGCCTGAATAGTCCCCCTAGTATTTATCGGTCCTCTCGGTTAGATATCGGCACTGGCAAGTTGAATAAAGAGAAATCCCTTGCGGCAATAATAGGTCACTCGAACGAAAAGTGGCAATTAATCAAGGAGGAGGGAGGGACCCATCCTATAATTTCGTCATGTCCGGGAGCCTCGGTGGAGCAGAGTTTGATTGATTTGTTTACGACCACTTCGTTACCAGGGCACGGCCATCGATCTTATTTTTAAGAATGTTTAACTAAATATTGGTTATATCACAAAGAGATAGAATAATTAGATGTTGTTTTTAAGGATTTATGATTAATTACATTTTTAGTACTTGTTAGAATCCCGAAGCGCCGAAAGTTTTTGTCCATTTAACTTGAATTTTACGTTTTATCTACTTATAAGTTAATCTCGTTTCGTACAAATAAGATTAATTCTGTTTTCTCGTTGTTTTGACGCTTTAAAGTGAAAAGTTGGTTTTTATCCTTGAACGTCTTTTTTTCCTCCCATTCGCCGCGGCAAGTCCGTATCGGTTTCACGCAACCACTACGATCCAATCGCAACCGGCGGGTGCCTAAGCATCGTACTATATATTGCGAACGTAAATCGGTCAGCAAATGGTGCTTAACCGCTGCACGAGACCAGACCGGTCAAGCTATTGGAATCGAACCATCCGATACTCGAGCGACAATTCCAGAACTTTCTGCGGCGAGCGGAGCGCCACCGGGTCGCCATTGTTCCACGGTGAAGGGGAATTAGGTAGGTAGGCACGGGACACACAAGAGTTACACTTAAGCGCGCAAATTTGAACTTTATTGTTTATCTTATTTGTTTAGTAACGCGACTAGTTTGTATGCGTTTTTCTATGACGCTTGTACAGATTTGATTGCGGTCAATATAAATTTACCGTCGTTTAGAATACTCGTAGCATTCGTTTTCGTGAATCACTGATAGTATTATGTACCTAGTAGTAATATTTAGTAGTTTTTTCCGTCTCTTAGTTATTGCACCTTAGCGATATAGTTTACTAAATCACTGAATCTCGTATGGACTGAATGTTATCAACGCATCAACAATTTTTTAGGTATTAACTTATTGAATTATTATTAACTATGGATTTTAATATTTTTAAAGGTTTGCCATTTTTTCCTTTTCTACTAAAAAAGTAAAATGTACAGTTTGCCTCCATATGAATGCTCAACTTATCCTATCTACAACTCTTGACTTTTTAATTTTTGTTTCGACAGATGTTTGGCGATCGTTTATCAAATAAATATCATGGTACAGTAGTACATCAGATAGACAGGCGGACCGTATTTAACATCGAAAAGGCAATCAGCGGGGCTTGAAACGCCGCGGGAGAGCCCCTCCGTTCGCAATCGATAGTACAACGACCCCGCATCTGCAACGGACTGTTGTCGCTACGTACCAACTCATCGGTGCCATCTAGACGGATAGACGGGCGATAAGATAATGCCACGGATAGTTAAAGGAGCGAAGGGATCGGGCCTTTGCTAGCCTACGACCGCAGCTGTGCTCGCGTTTAGTTAGTTCGGTTAAATGTAAACATTAAATCTTAACGATTATCATGATTTGATTGTGGTAGGGGCTCGCAACAAGTTCGCTGTTTGTACGAATGGGCAGCTCTGACCGGGGAAGTACCATTACCTCACAGAAGATCAGCGTGAAGTGGAAGTATTTAACTTTTGCGAGGTAGGCCTTACTTAATTAAAAGGTTGCAACGCATCTGCAATCCTACGGGTGTTACAAATGTCCAGGGGCGGCAGTTATCACTTAACACCACCAGCTCGCTTGCTACCATCTCAAATTAAAATTATGATCAATCATCTTCGCATCAGCTATCATCATAACAATTAGTAAGTAGTCTAGCCTAGAAACCGCTAAAATCCTTCCAAATATTGCGTGCACGTAGATAATACACTCGGACACGCACACACACACACACTAACACATACGCACGCTTGCATGTACTACCTACACGCACACGCAAACACAAACTGACATTTATAATAGCGTGTCCTGCCTGCTACAAATACACTCGTCACCTGTAAAACGGCTTGTTTAGAATTTTACCATGTAATCGAATATCGTTTTATATCGCTAATCGATCTTTTATACTTAGTTTTTGCCGTCGCATTATCAAGGTATCAAAATCGCGAGACACAATCACGACAGCCAATCTGGTTTTCGGTCACAGACAATTGCACGATTAAAAATTCAATTAGCTCTCCGTTCCAATCGTCAATGTAACTCGTATCAAAAATGTTTTTGTGTCTCCTGAAATAACTTTTAATAGATGTGGCATCTATCTCGATACATTTGTTGAAAGATTAAATTTTAAGTTTACTACATGTTGAATCCATCGTTTTTTTTTTACATATATTGGCTGCAGAGTGAGTTAAATAATCAGATATAGTTAAAATTTTTATATAGTTATAGAAAACATGAATCTAAAAAAACGCGCCTAAATTATTGCAGTTTCTCCGGTGCTAAGTAGGTTCCACCTATGCGAGACGGAAAAGAGTAATCGGCGTGTATAGATAGGCCTGCGGTCCGGTCCGGTTCGGTCGGTACGGACCCCCCTCCGTCCCAGCAGGCTCAAAGCCCCCCCCCCGCTCCCCCGCGTCGGATGCGATCAATGGCCCTTTCAATTAAAAGTTTCTCTCACCCCGCGCCCCGTTTGCTCGCCGCACCTCGTCGCTTTTGTTTCCAACAACTTGCCAGTCGCGGTACTCGTTTTTTTTTCTCTCTCTCTCTCTCTCTCCCCCTACCCTACCGAGTTACATTAAAAAGACGCAATGTTTTTTTTTTTTCGTTTCAATAAAGGTAAAGGGGCGAGCTTTATGTAGGTTACAAGTTGGAAATCACCTCGCCAACAGGTTCAACGATTGAGGGGTTCAAGGATGTTTCGAGTGGGTTTGTTGTTGTTGTTGTTGTTGATATTTCATTGAAGGTTTTCCTCTGTTTATGTCATTGATTTAAATAAGATGTTACTATTTGTTACCTCGTTCTATTACCTAGTTGGTTTGGCAATATTTTTTGTTATGGTTTTATTTCTAAAGAAACTTTCTAAAATAAGTTTTTAAAAATTGGACAATTAGCTTATTAAATCTTGAAATTTGTTGTAATTAAATTTTCTTTGTTACTTTACTTCATGAACTCCTACACTATTCATTATTTTTCATTTCACGAGTCACGATTTATTACGATCCGATACACGAGACCTTCGTTATGTGTACACCTTAGTGACCTATATGTGGTTTTACGTTAACCGTTTCATATTTACTATTTCTTATTATAGGGCAATCACTGGAAAACTGTTAGTAATTGATATCAATGAATCATAGTGCGAATGAAATGTATCTGACCACTTTTTTATTGAAGGATCAAAATTTATTTTCCTAATACGTCTTTATACGTAAAATGTAGTGAAGATAAACGAAGGTTTCCGTACCATTATGTATAAAAACGACAAAAAAATTTAGTCTGTTGTATGGAAGCTCCACTTAAATATTTTATTGGTTTTTTTTTGCCAGTTGTAAGGAAGTTCCACAAACATTTTTTATTGTTTTTTTTTTAATATTTGTTGTTATGGCAGCAACAAAAATAAGTCATCTGTGTAAATTGTAACTGTCTAACTATCATGGTCCGTGAGATAAAAACAGACAGCGGAGTCTCAGTAATCAGGTCCCATTTTACCCTTTGGGTACGAAACCCTAAAAATGAGCTAATAATTTAACAATATGTTATTACGTTGTTAAATATAATAATTGGCTTACAAAAGAGAGCCATAATTTATTTCACATCGCCGTTATTTGTTCGCATATCTGCTGTCAAAAACTGCCGTTGGCAACTTTCCGTTCTTTGTACGCTTTGTTTGTTTCTCCCACTAGAGAAGCGACGCTCTCACCGCCCCTGCATATATACATACATACATATTATGTGTGATGAAATGTCTACGAGACGGGCGTGTTCGTTCTATTTGCGACTATGTAAGTATGTATTCTTCACGGCGATCGTCGTGCGTAATGTCGTCGGTTTTTTTTTTACGTTAAAAGCGACGTTCGGAATAGACGCTTTCGTGCCTTCCTTTATACCGATAATTGTAGATGTGGTTTATTTTCGTTCATAATCGTTATTGCGTACGCCCAGAGTGTATTGTGTTACGTTTGAAGTAAGACGTACTGGTTTAATAGTATATAACAGGATTCATAAGATTATACAGATAATATGTACATCTGTTCCAATTAAGGGTTACAGATATGAATGCATTTCGGTTTTAAAATTATAACTGAAGTGGTCAATACGTTGATCGAAGAGAAGAGACATGAAATTAAATAGTCATTTAGTTGACATATTAGTTGTACCATTGTGCTAATAATTACGTTTCTTATTAAAATTTATCAATAAGAAATATAGATCTGAATAGCAATCTATGGATTTCAAATGCAGCAATAAAGATGGCTGTAATTTTGTCCATAAACTTCCCACGTTGTTCAATTTCCTTACAATGTAGTATGCGAACAAGTGGAATAAATTACCTTAATGGCTGTCTGTTGGTTGCTATGTCGCATCACGAATAGATTTGCATTAATGAATGAGTTTACGCGACAGGGCTTCCAGTCGCCTGTAGATTCATACGTTATAATTATCATTTGATAATTATGAATTTAATAACACTTTTTCTTGTTCTATTTATTGTCTGGGAAATTTTGCTTGTCATTGAGGTTTGTGCGGGGTCCAAATATCCTATGCCGTTAAAAATAGGGTCTCCAATTTTACTGTCTTACTTTCAATTTTTTCAGTGCCTCACATATGTGCCCTACGTACGGAAGCTTTCCACATCACTCTTTTCATCAAGGCGGTAACAAGTGGACTCCATTAGCTACCTTTCTCAACAGAAATTTCAGAGACGAGAGTGATTGTGCTCTGTTCATTTTGGGGTCATTTTCGACATGTCAGTCCCCTGAACCTCAACGAAGCAAATGCCTTAATAATACAAATTCCATATAAAATGATACAAAGCCAGAAACTTATACCACTAGCGGACCGGACAGACGTTGTACTGTACACATCTCAAAAATTCGAAAATTTCAAACTTTTTGAATAACTTTTTGAATCTAAACCATTCTCGAATCCACCTGAAGACACAAAAAATTTCAAAATTCATTAAAATCCTCCTTTCCTGCCGTTTAGGAGGAGTTCAATGACACACACACACGTAGGTACAGACGAATTATATATGTAAAGATTTCACTACAAGATTTCGGCGCCTGTAAGATTACAAGAACGGAACAACAGAACGAGAAACGCGCCACTATAATGGAGTCTCGGGCGAACTCTGCGCCAGTTTAGAATCACGGAAACAATGAAAATGGCATTTGAGCTATCAAGTAACATTGTCGCCTCCAGCATCCTGCTCTTTATGAACCGTAAAATATTACGTCGTTCCGCCGTTAAGCCATAGCCTAGGCGATAAAAATATGCTGAAGTTGCAAGTCGTAAACCCCGCGTAACTATATTTATTGTGCGACTTAGATACGAAGATAACCCTACTCTTTTCATTAATTAGACACTGCCAATTTTTAACTTTCTGAATAGACTTATTTATCGTAAATAAACAGCGTAATCGTATTTACTCCGTGCGGGGGTGGCTTCATTGCTGTGTCTATTAGTTTGTTTGTTTAGTAATTAGTTAATAAATATGTAGGCGGTTGTTAGGGGTAATATGTTGCAGTCTGATTCTCTACGGTATAGGTGCTCGCTATCCCACAGCCATTTTATTGTTTGTAGGCCTCTCTCGGTCTCCATCATTTATATTATTTTCGGCCTCGTTTGATATTCTTTTGTAGAGTCTTGTATTTGAAGTAGTAAATAAGTAATATAGCGAAATATTTCATTCAAAATAACTTGGCCACTTTCGGTGAAAACTTTTCCCCGTGGCTTCGGTCCAAGAAGTTTTTCGGGATTTAGCAAGCACTCATAAATAATTCGTCGACCTCCGGCTTCCACCGCGTTCATAAAGAGGAGCATACACGAAGAAAACATACATTTAAAATAATCTCACTTGCGTAATAATTACATGTATTATTTTAGCTCAAGAAATCAAGTCGAATCAAGTGTCTTCTTTCTTATTGATTGTGTTTTGTAACTGTATGTCTTAACTAATGTATGCGCTTTATAAGAGTAATGTTTAACGTGGATTTCGTTTTGTTTCAGGTGTTAGTGCGAAGTTGTTGTGAGTGCTAAGCCTGCTGCAGTGCTTCGGGGTTGATTGGTGCGGCGCGAGTGCGCTGTGCGTTATTCGTTTAGTGCGGTGCGCGAGACAGTGTGGTAACTTGTGAGTGCGTCCGTGGCGGCGCCGACGCGAGCGTCAAGTCAATGCCGGTGCGCCGATGGAGCGGTGATCGCGGCCTGACTACGTCACAAGAGCAGCGCTGGTTAGTGGCCATTCCGCCTTCCCCACACCCCACCACTAGTTCCCGACGCCGTGTTAGTTTTTTTTTACGTTATGATGTTGGAGAGCGAGCGAGCGTTTCATTCGATACTAAGTGATCACCGCCCGTCTTGACCCCGCATGTGCTGTAGATGCCATTTTAAATCAGCACGGTCGCTTTCACAATTCACGACGGTTTTCTGTGTTCCTATTAGTTAAAGCGTCAATCTGTGGTAGAGCCACGCAGTAGTAGCTGTAAAAACAGATTAAGTGACAGAGAAATATTGACAACAATGCAGGAATGATTCGATCCGACCGAGAACCGTTTCCGGGGAACCACATAGAGCTGTCATGAATATTCGTACTCTTGAGATTTGTCCGGTGAGGGTTACGGTGGCTTTGAATGACTAACCGCCGTCAATGAACATAAATAATATCACAATATCGAGCATGGTTAGTTAGAGACGTTCTATATGTTGCATTCGAGCTGACATGGCAACTATGTCTTCTTAATTTTTATAGTACGATGTTCTCGTTTTTAGTCCCGTGATCAATAAGTAATACATTTTTCGGTGACATAACTCGTGTAACTTTTGACGCTTTCCTGGAACTATACCTCGATTTAAGTTTCGTCCGTAGTGGTAGTTAATTTTATATAAGATGTACATTATCGTTTTTCTTCCACGGTTTGCCCTGGATGTATATATATAATAACATCATAACAGAATATCGTATTCGTCGTTCTGACAGACCGATACGGATTCGAGCAAACATTTCTAGGCTGCAAAGTTTTATTAGTTTAATATTTACTTTCTTGTCATTGGTTAGTTCGTATCCTTGAACTTTGAAACATCACACGCTGGGCGGCCAAGTTTGACAGGTTCACGGCCGCGGGTCTTAAATGTGAGCTTTAATTCTTTAGGCCTCATCGGGTGAATCAATTTATTGGATTTCCATTTGTGTTCTTGCTACTATCTAATGCGAAACTTCGTTTTTTGACTTTTTACTTTTTTAATTATGTCTCTATGTAGGCAGTGTGTCTATACAAGGCTATATAAGCATATGTATTCTATCGTTTGTAGCCTAAAAGCTTTTTTCAGTGTACTGTAAAACATTGGCAATCTACGGATGAATATTTATATACAGTTAGCGTAAAATACCATAGAAACTACATAGAGACTCGTAAAATCGATAACGCTCGTAAAATTTCTGGAGTGGGCGCCTCGTATAATCGATCGAAATGTAGGATGACCCTGCACTAGATGGAGTGAAGATCAGCAAACCTGCGGGATTTAGGTGGCTAAGGATTGTGCTTCGTGGCGGTCTGTGGGTGAGGCCGATGTTCAGCTGTAGACTCACGTGGGGTGAAATGATGATGATGTAGCGCATAAGCTCGTGTGAAACTGCAGCTAGTCTTTGTATTTCATCCTCATAGATGTGCTTAATCATTTGCTCGGCACAAAAAATATTACCAGACAACGAAAAAATTTTCATAGCGATATAAAATACTTTTATGTCATAACGCAAACCGTTATCACCTTTTTTCAGGCGAACGACTTAAGAAAAAGTTACAACCGAATTCGATGTATATTCATTAGTATATATGTAGCCAGATTTGGATCAATAAATTTATGGTCACCAGTCGCACGTTAATTGGCGTACAGTCAAACCGCGGATGCGTCGATTAGTTAATTTCCAAGCGTTTTTTTCCACGTCAATTTAATGCTGTTCTTGTCATGTTGAGCCGACGACTCGTCGAGTCTTTCTTTATAAGTTGCCTCGTATTGCGGTCATGTGGGATAAATGAATTGCGTTTGTGTTTATTTATCGTGTATGCTACTGTGTCATTCAAGTTTCGATCAGTATACATCACGGCAATAGTATTTCTAAAGGATTCTGCTTGTATGTAAAGTTCTGTTTATATTTGCGTAATCGAGTCGAACCAGCCGTCAGTTTCAGTGAGTTAATTTCACATTATAACTACGCTTAGAGTTGTTAATCACTACTTAGTATAAAACAAAGTCGTTCCGCCGTCTGTCTGTCCCTATGTCTGCTTTGATCTATAAAACAATGCGGTATTTTTACTAGATAGAGTGATTCAAGGGAAGGTTTATATGCATAATACATTACACTCGTGCGAAACCGGGTCGGGTCGCTAGTGTTATATAAAATGAAACCGTTAAAATCTGAAATAGCTTCCCCGTAGCCGTTTATACATAGCTTTCTGTAAGTATATTAAATATTTATTATCTCTTGTTGGTCTGACTATAATGATCAGCATATTGATTTGATTTAGACGTGAGACGTGCTTAAGTTTTTTCTATTAATACAATAATTACCTACCGAGTTCACTTTCTCACACTCGTGCCCAATGTACGATGACGATTTCAAAGACCATCATCATGTTTGAGAGTCGTTTATAAACTGGTAGTAGAAGCATTTGTACCGTTAATTTTTCATTTAGCTTTTGTTTAAATATTGTTTTTAGGGTTCCGCACCCAAATGGTAAAACGGGACCCTATTACTAAGACTCCGTTGTTTGTCTGTCTGTCCCTCTGTCACCATGCTGTATCTCATGAACCGTGACAGTTGAAATTTTCACAGATTATGTATTTCTGTTGCCGCTATAACAAAAAAAAAACTAAAGAAACAGATTAAAAAATATTTAAGTGGGACTCACATACAACAGACATGATGTTTTTCGCCATTTTTATAGATAGCACGGAACCCTTCGTGCGCAGTCCGACTCGCACTTGGCCAGTTTTTATAACAATGCAGGATGTTGTGCTGTTGAAAAAAAAAGTACTCGATTAGTCATTGCTTATTATGCAATGCAAATAAGAACCTTGATTTAAACATGAAACTAATTGCACGAATATTTTTAGACGAAGCGTCATTTCGGACAGTACAAGGTCTCATCGTTTCTTATACCCCGTAGTCAAGGCATGCACTTGATAGTTTTTACGTGCAATGAGTACGTCGCTTCCGATTTTGCGAATCTTTGTGTCAAAGTAAGAACAAACGCTTTACGTGGGAAATAATAAAGCATATAGGTATGTGTATATACTCGTACTTTAAGATTACCCACCGATGTGGATGATACAAAATTGTATTCTTCCCTTTTTTTTTTAAATACATGTATCTAAATTTACACAATCTTTCTTTCATGCTGCTAAAATTTATTTACTGTATTTTTGTATAATTATCAAGATAAAAAAGAAATTAGGTAATTATGATAATAGTTTGTTAGTAACTTAGGTATAATCGAAAAATATTAAATACAATGTTATTTTAAATTTGAAAACAAGGAGAATGTTAAAGTTCTAAGAAAACTTGAAAAAGGAATGATTCCTTCGAGCTTATATGTATATCGACAAGGATAAAGGATGAGACCGACGAGAAGATTTCGTAAAAGCGAAATTTGGTGGGAAAGTTCGCAGAGCACTGCCATGCGAAGGGACATGGACAAATCGATTAATTGGAAAATAGTACCCATAACTAATTTTATGTTTGTAAAATGTCCTTACAACACAGGATAATGTTATCCTAAAGTAAGGTCAATGTTTGGGCGATGTTATAAAGTAAATAGGCGTGTGACTCTTTTACACATCATTTCTTTTTCAGTTGGTGTCCGGTAGAAATACTTGATAATAATTCTATCTACACCAACTTTGACAGGTGTTAAGTTGTATTCAAGAAAAATCAATTTCGAACAGTCTTACACAATGAACACGTCTCGTTTATGTTTCGCAAATGTCTGTAGCACATGTTCGTAAGATATGTAAATATAAACTCACGCATCAGTTACGTGTGTTAATGCAATACCTACTTATCCGAAGGTCTCCTCAGTATGTGCGATTCTGGGGTAGCGACAAAACGGCGCAACACGCAGTTTTAATGATTCCGCGAACAGTTAGTTTTGAAATACGAAATTTAGCTGAGCGATAATAAAATGCACGCCCCAAGTTCACAACCTTGTTAACCTATTATGGAGTTTGTTGATGTTTTGTAACATTTGTAAGTAATTGAATCAGTTCGGAAAATTGTTCATTCAAAAAACATTCACCTTTGTGATGATTTCTCGTTTCATAAAGGGATTTATTTTTGTAGTCCAGTTTATAACTCGACGTTGTAATGTTTTAGCAAACATTTTTATACATTGCGCGTGTTCGCAATTAACGTAATAACGTGACTGTCTGAAGATTAATTTTGCTTCCCTTATGGAAACATCTAATAATCCTATTTTTAAGTCGTTTCAATCTCAAGATAAAGTGATCCGTTATCTTTAAATTTTATTTCATAATGTGAACTTCTATTAGCTTAACATTATACATATGAGCGCGCCTAGTATTAGTGTATTTTTGCTTAAATTAAGATTAAATATTAAACTCGCCTTATCTTTCGGGTCGCTCGTTTAGAAACAAAAATAGAACGATAAACTTTGGCAGTTTATTCAAAGTTTAACATAATTATATTTATCTCCGTTCGAAAACATTTAGCGCTCTGTTATTGCCAAACACGAACTTGTACGTAAGTTTATAGGACGACTTTTGAAATAGATATGAACCTATTAAGCCCGGTTCAATTCACTAAATATATAATTGGAGCAATAGATAAATCGTCCCCGTATCATTATCGTATTTATATTTTTAGAAACTACCAGTGCAATAGTTATATGTGTATTGCTCAAGCGTGTTACGAGCGGCGAACGCGATGTCATTTTAATTGTAAACAATTGTCGATAACGATGGCCCATTCAGCTCGTACGCGTAACCCGGCCGATAGCTCCGACCTACTCCTCGCCTCATGGGTCACACGACGGCGCGTGCATTAATATATTAATCGTACGGTAATATTGTAAATGAAAAATATTGCGGGGAAGTGTATTGTTCGCTCTACCTTCAACACGTGAATACTTTTCTTTATAAATTATAGAGGTTTGCCTTTTTGTACGCGCATGACGGAAAGACTATTAGACACTTTGACTTATCTAAAAGAATATTA